CTTTGTTTCGATTTTTCGATCGTCTTCAATCGCTTTGAAGATTTACCAAGGATGTAAGAATAAAAATGTGGATATCAAAACATATAAATTTTTTGTTAACGATTTGCTGAAGATGATCCAAAGGAAGAACACTATCGACTGAAATGTTTAAATTAAAGAAGATATTTTTCTGTGCTTGGCTTTTAGTCTGGCTAACCGTTTTTTACCTGAATTTATATTACAAATGTATATTTATTTGGAGGACATTAAAAAAAAGCCAACTTAAGTTATACTCCAGATTATTTTTAATACACGAGCCTAATCTCGAATATTATAATTTTTAGTATATTTATTTTATATTTTATTAAATATTTTATATTTTATTCATCTTGAGGTTGTTTGTCCAATTAGTATGGAAAATATTATAACAAGGCACAAGTGCAATATTCTGCTGATAAATAATTTTTTTAAATTAATTTTTTCTAGTCTTTAAAGCATGATAAGCATTTAAAACTCAATTAAATCTATTTATATTTTTCATTTACTTATATAATGTAAAATTTGACGTAATGTAAGATAAACACTAAGCACATTTAACTTTTCAAATCTATTATCTATAAATGATTTCTAAATAGTATAGATATTATAAATTTATAATTTTAATTTGTGTTCTCTTATATTTTTGACTGAATCTTTTTATATTCTCTTCTTACTACCAGAAAATTTTATGAAATTTTAATATTCGATGTATTAGTTGACTTTTAAAGTTGAACATCATATATTCATATTGATTTGAAGATGCCATTTATAATATGCAAATTACTTTAGCATCTCCTACATAAAAAAATTTAATATCCTGACTTTTTTATCGTAGAATGATCAACAAACTATTATTATAACTTGAAAATCATATAATTTCCTTGTATAACGAATGAAAAGATATTTAACGTCGTAGATTATTATTATAAATTATTATGATACATCGAGGCGAAGAATACATATCGACGTGTTTAATATATTTGTTATTTAATCTTATGAAATATGTATTACGCAGAGACACATTTGACAATTATAATTTCAGAGTTATATAAGTACAAATTCCTTCGCGCAAATAGGCTACGCGATTCAAATTTCCGTATTATATCTTTTTACAGTTGAAAAATTTCTGTTTTTAACAGATATCACATGTCTAAATGGTTCACGAAAATTTTTGTGTTAATTTAAAATAATATGAATAAGTTAAATGGAGACATAAATATTGTGTTTATATTTTAACAAAAAATAAATGCAAAACTTCAAATAATTTAAAGTAAATTTTGTATTAAATTAACATACTTTTAATGTAAAAATTAAGAAAAAAATATGTTAATTTTATACTTTATCATTCGTACTTATATTATAAAATAAAAAATCAACATTTTTTCCTGTAAATTGAAACAGATAAATCTTGGCACTAATAAAGCATAACATATTTATTGTGTAAAATTAAAAATAAATACACATTGTTATTTTTATATTTTTTTCAGTTGTTTTAATAATTTAACATTTAAGTTCAAGTAACAGAATATGTAAAATTAACACATAAATGTATAAAATATTTAACACAAAAATTTTAACGGGGACCGTTTTTAACAAGAAAACACCAATTTTTCTACTGTGATCGCAATAAGCGAAGAATTTTTTTTTCGAATACGCGTTTCCGTCCAAACGAGAGGAGTGTCGGTAATGGAAAATATTTTATGTGCAGATGTTCATAATGTATATTCAGCATGCAAAAAGTCAAGGTTACAAGGAGAAAGAAACACGACATTGCGCGCGAATATTTATTAGCGGAACCCGTTAAGAAAGAGACGGATATTTTTTTTCAGGGAATATATATAGATATATAGGATTTTTCTTCTGTCAACATTCTCTGTCCTCTCTTTTTTACATTCCTCCGTGCGGCGCAATGGCCGGTCAACTCTCTCGTTGTAACATCAACGCCTGGTACGTTTTATCACCGGCTGTCCCGTGCATTGAAATCGCGAGATTTCTCTCATCGTTGCGCTAAAGCGCTGCGCGTTCTTTCCTTTGCCTATCAAAATGCATTAAGTAGAATCGGGTAAGTCGATATCGCAATTTGTCATGGCAAGCGATAAATGGACGTGATTCAGATTCAGCTCTGCACAGTAGAAAAATTTGTTTTTTTGTTAAAAACGATCCCCATCAAAATTTTCGTGTTCAATATTTTACACATTCATGCGTTCATAAACATATTACTGTTCTGTTAATTAAACTTAAATGTTAAATTATTAAAACAACTGAAAAAATGTAAAAATAGCATAATGTGCATCTATTTTTAATTTTACACAATAAATATATTATGCTTTATTAGTGATGAGATTTATCTGTTAAAATTAATTTACAGAAAAAAATGTTGATTTTCTACATTAAATTTTCTACATTAATTTTTACAATTTATTTTAAATTATTTGAAGTTTTGCATTTATTTTGTGTTAAATTATTAACACAATATTTGTGTCTCCATTTAACATATCCATATTATGTTAAATTAACACAAAAATTTCTGTGGACCGGTTGGGACATGTGATATCTGTCAAATTTTTAACAGAAATTTTTCAACTGTGTATGTAAGTTCAATGTAAGTTTATTTTAATATGTACAACACTTTATTATCGGATTGATTTATAAATAAGTTTTGTTTTATTTAACAAACTGAATTTTTATATTTACAGAAAACAGTATAATAATTAAGTCCTGATTCATAAATAATATATTCTTAATTTCTTGCAATAGATAAAATAATTACATTTCATGAATAATACTGGTTTCTTAGAAGAAGTGATTTATTAATTATCTATATAGCGAAATTTGAATCATGAATTAACTTAATAATAAGAAAAAAATTATTAGTTTCGCGTGTATTAATTTAATTTTATAATATTTGTATAATATTCGCAGAATTAATTGTATTTTTTCAAACGATTGAATTTTTAATTCGACAGCGATAATCTTATAATGCATATTGATTGAAATTTGATTTATTTATAATGAGCCCTTTATATTTTCCGATTTTTTTGTTAATTATTTGCACAGAGACGAAATGGTAGATAACGTATTTACATCTTGATAAGAGAAGATAATAGCAAAGCAAAGTAGATTCACGAGATGCACGAGTGCTCTATACTAATAAAATCTGGTCTCAGCCAGTCACAGTTGCAAAGTTTGTTTATCATAACGACAAGACAATCATAATAGACTTACATAATCGTCGTAATAATTGGAGCAACGCGAAAATGATGCGTCTGCATTTGCGTAGCCCCGGGCTTTAAACAAGATATAATTTAATAATCGTTTAAAAGTTGATAAGTCTATACACTGTAAAAAAATTTGTTAATTTGACTAAGCTTTTCAACTAAATATTATTTTGTTAATTGAACGTATAAAAATATTTAAATTAAATGTTACATATTAAATCTAACAAAACGTATATTTGAATTATTTAAATACTAATATATTGTCAATTAACAAAATAGTGATTTAGTTGAAAGGTTTAGTCAAGTTAAGATTTTTTTTATAGTGTACCATACATAAAGTCTATATATACATAAATAAGTAGAAATTTTCTTACTCGAGTGAATTATCAGTCTTGTGTTAATACAAGAACTCTAGACATGAGATCTAACAATGTCTTGCATCGATATATGCTAGATCTAAAACATTAGACCAATGATTTGCTTGATGATCGGAAAATGTTCTTTTATTTCATAAGATACGCGTATATTTTTCATAAAAATTATCCCATGGTTATTTTACGGAATTTAATTTTATTCTGCTAAATTTTTATAGCGAGTATTTAATTTATAATTATTTAATAAAAAGTTATTTATTTATTATTTATTAATTTATTTATTATTTACTTTTGTAATTATTTATTTTATTTTGTAATTATTTAATTATTTACTGGTATTTATTTAAGATGTAACAGAAAAGTGTAACATTTCAAAAACTTTTGATATATCAAATCGATTGATAATTTGTATAAGTGCGATTCGTTATCGAATTTAATAATACACTTTCTTTTCTTATGAAATATTTCTTTATTTCAATTGAATTCACTGGTTTCACCGAACAACCAGTTTTTTAAGCAACGTTGCATAAGGTGCAAACACGTAGACCATAGTAAAAGTAAAACTTTACTAATACGTGAGAGGAAAAAAGAAAGGACACAAAAAGTGTTCCGGTATGACTGGCACGTCAGCAGTTTACGACTGCTAGACACGTGTCTTTTTTATGTTAATGTAAACGTTTTTTTTTTATTTTAAATAAAGAAGTTCAAAAAGATATCTGTCGAAGGTTTTGGTTTGTATAGAGCATAAAATAAAATTTACTTGAAATGAAAGTATACGATTTTGTTATACTTGTACTCTTTCAGAAAAATTTTATTTATGAAAATTTCTGAACATTTAATGTTATTTAAAATTAGAAACATTTATAATTATTAGCATATTAATATTTTTGATAAACGATTATTAATTATAAAATCTATTCAAAGATTTGAATAAATGATATATGAATGACATTTTATATATATTCTTATTTTATTTCTATATATATATATTTTTTATTTAATATCCACTTCGAAATAGAACGATAAAATTAAATTAAAATTACATTTCGAGTTGCCAACATTTTGCAAACAAAATGTTGAAAAGATCCGATATATGTTTTCATAGAAATCAATTTACTATTTGTCTTTCATGAATAATTCAATCTTTATGAAAGCACCATTCATTATTATTTGCATTTGATTATTCCATTTGTATAACATTACGTTAGAATAACATTGCATCTTGTTGCAATAATGTTAAAAGTCGCATATTAATCGACATGTTAGAGATACAATAGGTGCGCTTTAGGGTGAAAAAAATTCCTCAAAAAAAAATACTCGTGAATAACTACAATATTATCGCAGAAGATTGTTATTGCTGCTTATCTAACAATTATATATGTTAACTCACTTGATAACCGTTTGCTTCATACTGTTGGTCATAGCGATTATTGTTTCTTTCTATTGTGTCTTATTGTTATATGTTCTTTCCTTCGATTCTGGCACTAGCACATAATCACACTCACTTTCGTTCCACCGATTTAAATTCAGCTGGCAAATTCGCGCGGTTTTTCAAAAGTCAACCCAGGCCTTTTTCCCGCGCTTTTCCGTTCGACTTTTCTTTGTTTCAGGGAAATTAAAAAGGGATTATGGAAGGAGGGAGAAAGGTTGCTTCCTTTCTCCGAGATCCGGATACCAATCAGTTTGGACTGTTAGCGCCGGACTGAAGTAGCGCGCGCGCTTCTGCTCGTATTTAAACTCCTCTCCCTTCCTTTCGCGCCCTCTCTTTCCCTCTCTCTCGCTCTCTCGCGCGCGCAAATTCCTGTGTTTCCCAAACATTTTTTCGATTCGGTCAAATTACCGCAAAAACTCAAGCGTCTTGCTCGAATAGCAAAACATATTCAAGCTTTTTACTGTTTCGCAACAATTTAGAATTCTTTTTAAAATTACGCATTCTTAAAAAAAAAAATATATATATATATATATATATATATATATATAAAGAAAGTATTAATTATTTTTTATAAACATGACACATGCAATTTTTGAATTTTAATTCTTTAGAAAGATTTTAAGATTTAATATCATTAGATATACACTGAAGAAATTTTCATAAACATTATAAAACATCTTCAGTGAAATAGATTTGGAAACTTATTGTGTTTAAAAAAATGTATTTAAATTCTCTCTCTCCTTCTTTTTTCTAATTATATATTTTATAATAATTTTTGCAAACAAAATTTTTTTAAATACTGTCTTGTATTTTATTATGAATTAGTGACGTTATTTACATTACGTTACAGTTTAATAATTGAAATTTTGATGTAAATAAAATCGAAAGCACGATGAGAAATTACGAAGATAGAGCTATAAAAAACACTCCCATCTTAAATTTGAAGTTTAAACTCTGGCGGGTATTATAGTCTCGGTGCGCCGATTTGAATAGTAAGGAGATACTTCCTCATTACAGCGCCCGGCGATTTTCATTTTAATGATTTAGTTAAAGAAATGTTATGGCGAAACTGACGCATATCCGGATGTTAAAAGGATCATTTTGACAAATTTATTGATAAGATAAGGATATAATGAGTCATTCGCAAAATTCGGTGTGACATGACGTTGCAGGAATGATTAATAGTGCAATTTATTTAAAATGTTCCAAGAATATGTTATCTAATGTTCTAAGAATATGTTCCATTGTAATTTCACTTATCTTCAATTGTATTTCATTTATCTAGGAAAATCTAAAGTATAGGTATATCAATTATATTTAATTCTTTTTTCTCTTTTTCTCTTTTCAATAATTTAGATGAATTAAAATATTTTAAAAATTATTTTAATGTATATTTTCAAATCTCTAGGCTTGACTATAATTGATGAAATATTTAACAGAAAATTGATAACTCACTTAAATAAATATATTTTCTCAAGTTAAGTAAATATTTTAAATATTTACAAATTCGCGTGCATTAAGCGCAATCAAATATTAAGCTTTAATTTTATGCGCTAATGTATAACATATATTTATTCATTTATTTTGATTTCATGCAAATATATCATCGAAATCGGCCTATATATATCATCACAAAAATAATAATTTGACATACTATTAATGTCATGTATGAAGACCTAAATTAACATCGATAATAATGATTGATAATGAGTCTCATAGATATTTTTAATATAATGGAATTTAACAATAAGAATGAACTCACTAAATAATAAAATGCGTGAATTTGGCCGAGTTTCGGAAACTTGGTTCGCTGCACCTCTTAAGAGCATTGCGTAAGCAGTTAGTCATTATTAATAAGAACAACCTCGAAACTTCTCGACGGTGTATCTTAAACAAGGACGGAAATCCCACTTTATAACTAGAACCTAGTTATAAATTAAGGTAGGGTTTGAACTTACATAAGACGCGCGTGCAATTGTCGATTGCATTGACACGATGATCGACTTGCGGCTTCGCCAATTCAAGGATAACTTTGACAATCTTGACGTCTCTCACCTTGCAGAGATAGAGAGTTTTGATAAATAAATTTTTTTGTTACCATTATTTTCATCACACTTACAGCTTCATTAATTCTTTAATTTCCGTAGAATATAGAATCACAGTAGAAAAATTTGTGCATTGAAAAAAAGTTTGTTAACGAACAAATATTTAGTTCAATACGTTCAAATAAATCATGTACTTGAAACAAATAAATATTTATTTGTTTCAAATAAATGATTCATTTGAACGTATTAAACTACATATTTGTTAATTTAACAAACTTTTTTTTCAGTGTGTTTTTTTTGTTAAAAACGGTCCCCGTTAAAATTTTTATGTTAAATATTTAACACATTCATGTGTTAATTTAACATATGACTGTTTTGTTAATTGAACTTAAATGTTAAATTATTAAAACAACTGAAAAAAATGTTAAAATAACACAATGTGTTTTTAATTTTACACACTAAATATGTTCTGTTTTATTAGTGACAAGATTTATCTGTTAACATTTACAGAAAAAAATGTTGATTTTCTACATTAAATTTTCTACATTAATTTCTACATTAAAAGTATGTTAATTTTACACAAAATTTATTTTAAATTATTGGAAGTTTTGCATTTATTTTGTGTTACAATATTAACACAATATTTGTGTCTTCATTTAACATATCCATATTACGTTAAATTAACAGAAAAATTTCTGTGGACCGTTTGGGATATGTGATATCTGTCAAATTGAACAGAAATTGTTCAACTGTGTGAACATTTTTAGAATTCGTTCGTAATTTCACGGAAACGTCGATATACCGTATCGCTTTAAAGGGAAACAATCGATACGCACGATTGCGGTTGATGTTCTGTTTATCCTTTGCCTTCTTATACATAAAACAGGTTTTTTTTGGCAGAAGAGCATAGCTCTTATAAACCGCAAAGTTTCATTAAGGGTAATGACTAAGGACGAATGCTAATCGGGTTACGTGACGTAGCACAGAAACTTGATGAAAAGCCTTTGCGATTGTCGATGAATACTTCTGCGATTTGTCACTGCTAAATGCACTTCTCTTTGTATTCGCTTCTTATGAAAAGGCGCGCACTTTGTTTTCGTGCAAAAATGCGTCACTCGATCGAATATTGATTAAACGTCATATTTGAAAAAAAGACAAGTGTTTATTTAGAAATCGAACTCGTGGTTCAACTTAAGTCTAACTTAAATCAAATTTGAATTATTCTGTCCATTGGAAAAATATAAACATTGATGAGCGAGCAATTGTTTTTGTCATTTGACGTTTCGATGGATCGATTATAATTTTAATATAATTATTGTAAAGTGCTTAGATAATATATATAGTATATCCTGAAAAAAATGTGTTAACTTGACTAGACCTTTCAACTAAATATTATTTTGTTCATTAATTATATTATATTAATTATATAATATTATATTATATTTTTATATATTTTTATTTAAATATTTTTATTTTTATTTAAATATTTTTATATGTAATTAGATTTAATATACATATATTAAATCTAATAAAGCGTATATTTGACTTAAATACTAATACATGCTTAATTAACAAAGTAATTTAGTTGAAAGGTTTAATGAAGTTAACAAATATTTTTCAGTATACTATTTTCTATAAGTATTTATAATTAATAATAAATTGAAAGCCGTTACGTCACAAAGAAAAGCCTGCGAGGCGAAAGTCAAACAAATCAAGTCAATGAACCGTATACAGTGTGTATGGAAGTATGCCGATATTAATTAAGGAAATTCCATTGATTATCGGTCGGCATTTTACAATAGCACAAGATTGAAGGAAAAAAGTTAATGGGTTGTAATAAATCTCGCAAACATGAGACATCCGTTCTAGATGCTGTCGCGATCTTCGCGTTGTGTAGAAAGGAGTCGTTCAGGATCCATTTGGGTTTCTTTGCGACACTCTTTGATCATTGCATGTACACATATACATTCGTATGTAATTTCGAAAGTTGCAGTATTTTCTTTTGCAAAACAGATGTGTACATAGATAATGTAGCGTGCGACACGAAATAAACTGTTTCGCCTAATTGGAGAATGAGATACTTTCTAGTTGATATATAAGAAATGTGTTTTAATACAAGAAAATTAATTAATAATAAATAACTGAGAATGAAAAATAATGAGGAATAAATAAAGAACCTCGCACTCGCGGTTTAAGATCTCTAATTATTGCTTTCTGTTAATTTGAATAATATTAATTTGCGCAACATTGATCAAATCATTTACAATTATTGAGCATAAATCTCTCGAATCGCGTACTGGCATATAAATGAATTTAAGATACATCGATTAATTTTGAATAAAAATACAATTCTAAAGGCGCGAGTGCGAGAGACAGACAGCTTCTTAGATAGGGAAATACGGGATACCGTTAGCGCGGCATTAAGAAGATCGATATGTCAGACGTACGATTTGGAACGCAGAGATCTCGTGGAAAAAATATGATCGGCACACATATTGGCATTAGCCAAGCGACTCGAATGCGAAGACGTTTTATAATCCATCTCGAGAACGCGCCAAGTCCCGAAATGTCGTTATCCCGGGAGATTTGACAAGTGGGACGATAATCCGAAGAATTGACTTTTTATACTAATGTCATTCCGCTTTGCGCGGGACACGTTTTTTCGCATTTTTCGCTGAATGCCCGCGCGTTGACATCTGTCTAAATAGAAAATATATTGGCGAAGAAATGACCTCTTTTCTAACAGACTGCACACGTCGTGCCTTTAATCGTTAATATTTTCTCTGGAGAGAAAAAAATATATATATATACAGGGTTTGTCCGGAAAGTAATGCGTCGCATTTTTTTAAAAAAGAATTTATTGATCGCATAGGTAAAACAACTTAAAATTGTTCGAAGTATGACCCTTCTGCGTCAATACATTTTTGCCAACGCGATTTCCATGCGTCATAAGATTTCTGGAACTCCTTGACTGGGATGCTGTTCAGGGAGGCCGTCGAAGTAGCTTGTACGTTGTCAACCGACTCGAGCTGTTGTCCTTTGAGCTCCCTTTTCAGCCGAGGAAATAAAAAAAAGTCCGCCGGGGCCAAGTCGGGACTGTAGGGCGGCTGCGGCACCGTTGCCACACCGATCCGGGTCAGGTAGGCCGTAATAACAAACTTTATCGCATAGCGTTGCTCTATCGTTCTCTCCATCACAAGTTCGACGCGACCAC